ATGCACTAACCTCCATTATCATGTTTAAATTGCGTGAGTGTGGGGTTTTCTGTTTGAGCATATGGTTTCCTTGACAATATGTACGAGTGCAGAGCTTTTATGATGGAACATGCCACAGAAAGGGTTAATAAGTTCACCCTTTCTGAAATATCTAAGCTCAGACTTTGTTTTGATTATTCTGTCTGGCATCAACAGGTTTTCTTTCCAAACCAAAAGTCCAGTCTTTAACAAACTGTGTTTAACATTACATTCTCTATATCTTGAAGATTGTAGCTACTTTTTTTTGTAATAACACATTTTATTCTTGTGAAATTATTGTCAGAATTCACATTAAGGAGTTTTGCATATTCATGCTGAATTTTCAAGAAATTTTTTTCACCCCATTTTTTAAAGATTGGGGCAGTTGTTTTCTTTTAAGGATTTCCAAGTAGAGCCCAACCCAGTTGGGTTTTTTACAGTGGAAAAAGAGCCGATTTATGAGCCAATATTTAGATTTTGAGAATGATTTGGATAGTAGACCCCTTTACTGTATAAACTAAATTTAGAACAGGCCGATATTGAAAGCTGTTCTGTATGTGGCCCATAATACCTTTTCCTGTTAATAAAATAGATTACAGTCTCAACAACAATTGCACATCATTAAATATTTGTCTGAAAGAGAATAAGCATTGCCTATGTGTATTTTATCTAACACATAATCTGCCGTAATAACTACATTCAGTGTAGCATATCTAATTTATCCCTGTGCCAGCACGCTTTAATAATATCCAAAGCTAGGTGAAACCATTTCTCAACCACCAGCTGGCTCTAAATCATGCTGCCTAAGATAACGTTACAGTGACCTGCTGTTGAATGCATCTAATACTACATGTCTACAACGAGGACCTGCATCTTTGATATTTCATTTAACTAACATTATAACTACAACCAGAGCCGTTACAGCTCTGACTACAGCGTTTCACGTCTACTATGCCACACAGAGAAGCTACAGGAAGCCGTGTTAGATTCTTGTTCAGTTCACGTTTATTTACGTCTGCTATGGTTTAATCATTTCCGACACGCCGACTAAAACTGCAGACAGGCGGCTCGCAGATATATTTGGAATACGTCAGAAGCTATAGTTTAACACATAGTGTTAGCTTTGTGGCTAATTTAGCAAAGGGCGACGTGAGCTGCTATAAGCGATTTTAGAGAATATTGACAACGATGAACTAGGGAGAAAGGAGAGGACCGGTAGCTACAACTGCCACACTGTTAGAGAAATGCATCTACACTCACGTTTGTCAGCAGCGTAACGTTACCCAACCCAACTACCGTAACATTTAACTGCTGCTGTGAGCTGGGAGGAAACCGGGAGAGGGCAATGAAAAACGGGAAGGTTAGCAAGTCATGAATGTTTTCAGGAGAAGATAAGTGTTTGGGCCTGGTTTTAATTATAATTTATGTCATGTAATTAACGTGACATCTCACCGCTAACACAGTCTGTTGTTTTTGCATGCTGCGGTAAACTTGGCTCCGGTAGACTTCGGTCAGCTGATTGTTTTCTTCTGTGTTGTTAAAAGAGGAGCTGCAGCGCGCCCTCTGGTGGACAAACTATGCAACACCAGATTTCCCCTAGGATGGAGTTGTAGCAGCGGAGGTGAAGCAAAATCTTTTTTTTGTGCGCGTAGTATGTCTGAATATAAAACCCCCAACACAACGTGTCTCAGCAGCGTTGCTTTTGTGTCCATGAGCATGCGATGCTTAAAATGTTGGTGTTTTCCCATAGTTTTATGTGAGCTTCAGATGAATGTTTTGGTGGTTGTAGTAGTCATGGTCAGGGTTCCTCCCCCAAGAAAATTTTTACCAACCAAAAGTTTTCCAATATTATTTTCACCATATCTTCATACAAATAGTTGGAAAAGCTAGAGCAGATAATAAACAAACGGCACCCAAAGTTCAGTCTACTGGAGGAACTACAACCATTAGATTTGGGAGAAAGTAATTTGGTTGGTTATGTTGCTCTCCAGTGATTTTACATTTATGGCACAGCATGTTTGGGCATCACCCCCTAAGACTTAACGGCAGGAAAACCCTGTTAATATGACCTCAGAATCATTATAGATACAATTGTTCATGTTTGCCTTCTTGTGTCTTGATTTTTACAGCTTTTGACATTTATCTATAGACCTTTTAATATAAAAAATAGGCAACATGAGAAACCACCTCCCTTCTGAGGAGCATTTTATTTGCAATCCAAAAAGAAACGTCGTCTCATTAGCTTAAAAGGATCACTAATTTGCTTTACTAAGCTCAGATCCTCCGGTCACCACTGTCCTTTCTTTTCCTAACAACCACTTTTTCAGACTCACCTGAAAACTGAATAATAATTTAGGATGTACATGTCTATAGGATACAGGACAGAGCTGTAAGCTACACCAGTTTAGTCTAAGTTTGTACCTGATGTTCTCAACATTGGACAAGTAGGTAGTGATAAAATACATCTACCAGTTACTTTCTATAAATTGAGCTAATGTTAAGTTACATAGAGCTTAAAACATAGCCGACTGTATAAGCTTTCCTGGGGCTCATGTATAAACGCTGCCTACACACAAAAAGGTTACCGTATGTACGCTGGTTTTCACGCACACGTGGGATGTAATAAAATAAAAAAACGAACGTGATGTAAGAATGTGCGGACCCTCCGCAAACTTTTTTCTGGCTCTGTCAGCGAACTCCAAAGTCAGACACGCCAAATGTTTCAAAATAGCGTTTCCACTCCAGTTACAGTGCAGATCAAAAATCTAATACACACAAGTTTTATCGTGTATGTAGTGGTTTAATATCAGATAAAATTAAATGTGAGAGGAATAGATGATGATGGCTCTTACGTTTAATTTCGCTTCATATCACACGTTATCACTTTATCATACAAACATTCAGACCAACAATGTTATTTGCTTGCGCTAGTGAGCCATAACTATTCCATACTGCACCTTTGAATTGTAAAATAAATAAAATTAGCCAAATCAATGTCCGCTAAATATTTCCTCAAGACAATCAGGGTCAGTTGGGGACCCGCAGCATAAAGCCAGGATAATGTCAGGTGGCAGGATGAAGGATCGCCCTTCCCCGATATTAGACGTGAATTGAGCTTCTGAGTCCTTTGAGACTTAAACTCGGCTAACTGATGGAATTATCATGATCGTAAGTGCACTGAGACGCTGCAGTGGCGCACAAACAGCTTCTCACCTCGACTCACCCGGCACATCTTCACCACCTGCACATATGGACTGTGTAAATTAAAATGTCTGGAAATAAATCCAGGAACAGCTCTTACACAATCGCTACTCTCCATCCTCATCATAATGCAGGCCATACATAATAAAAAAAAAAAACGACATTAAAAAAAGTGTTCACCTGTCAAACCTCAATCTTCAAATGATCTCCCAGGGTGGGGGAGACCACTGACTGAAGGGATCATTTTGGCAAGGTGTGAAGCCTGCTTTGTATGATTGCTGTATTGCGTGACACACTTGTGCGTAATCCTGCATGGCTGCGCAATGGCACTGCAGAGGACGACGCGAGCGTAAGGATTAGAGTGTCCATGAAGATTTCCTGGCCCATGATTTATTAGACAGACCAACCTGACGGGTCTGATGTGATCAACAATATATAATGTTTACCTTTCTACTAATGTCTTTGTTTAGAATAATATAATTCTGTTAAACTCTCAGAATTTTCTTTTGGTTGTGAACAAGCTGCGTCAAACAATGTGCTTTCTAACTTCCTCCTCACAAGCACCTCGATTTCTGTATCAGAAAAGCTGTTTCCACTTTGTCAGATCATGTTTTCTTTATTTCAGCCAGTATGAGTCTCTGAGCCGGCTGCATTGACTGTTATTGTAACACAAAGTCACTCAATCCGTTTTGCGTTTGTTGGTGATCAAAGAGTTCAAACCATCAAATGAAATATTTCTTTTCTCTTCCACTTCAGTGATCAGCACCTTGATCTTGCACTTAGTGAAGTTTCTCTTTTTCACATGTTGTGCAGCAGGATTGTGGGCTATGTGGCTCGTGCATGTGCGCTCAGTTTCACGTTGATTAGGATGTATAAATGAAAGGTGCGCAGGACCTGCCCTATGCATACGGTTTTTATAGATGTGGATTTTTCTGTGCGTACATTTATTTATTTTTTTTTTTAATTCTGTGAGTACGCTATCTTTCAGTATGAAAGCTGCGCAGTCTCTGATACATGAGGCCCCTGGTCAGCTGCGCAGTTCATCTGCTCTGTGCTGCTTGATGCTGCTTCCCTCAAAAATAGACTGGCAGTAAATATTGAATTTTAGCTAAACAAAAAAAACAAAAAACGCAATATCTGGCAGAAAAAGTGCAATTAGATCGTTCAGCCCTAATTGATTGTGGGAAATCTTAGTAGTTCTATACGGCTGAAGTGAACTTATAGAACCCTATGTTATGCTAGAGAGCATGACAGCAGTACCCCGACAAGCTAAGGAGTTAGGAAAGTGAAACATTTCAGTCAAACCTGTAAATATTGTCTCTGGGTTAGCAAGATTTATTTTTTTCAAGATTTTTTTTCTTTTTAGGTATGAGTGACACTAGATTTGTTTATAACCATCCTAAAGTGCTTTTTAATGTTTTGATGTTGTGCTAAAGTAGAGAAAGATACAGTGGAGTGTATCACAGAGTAAACGATTTCCCTCTAATGGGGAACATTTGTTAATCCTGACTGTTAGTGTTTAGTTGAAAGAAGCTGTTACTGCTTACATTTATACTGAGACTGCGAATGGATAGTTTTGCGCTCACTATCACAGAGAGAAAATGCTGCATCAACTTCAAGGCTTTTGCACTCGCAGGAAATTGTGCCTGCATAATTAAAAAAACAAACAAATCTGAAGTCACTCAAGTCTTGGAAAGAAAGCAGAGCACGCATTCACAGCAAAATTCACACCAAGCAAGTCTTGGCTCATTGTCAGGTTTTTCTTTTCTGTTCCTCCACAGATACTTGGAGAAGTATGAGAAAGTCCACCACTTCGGAGAGGATGATGAAGAAACTCAGCCGGGGAATCCCAAAGCCTCTCTTCCAATCGGTGCAATTCCCAGTTCTTATAACTACCAGCAACACAGTGTATCAGGTAGGCTTCTTGTGTACACATGACTTAGTATTCAGAAGCTGTCTTATTCCGTCTTGCTATCTCTGCGGTCGCAAGTTCATTCTTTGTTTCTGGCTCTGTCATGTCTGTATCAGGTACGTGGATTCAGTTTCTATTGTGCATACTTTCTTGTTTTTCTGTCTCACTCAGTTTCTCATTTCATTCTGTCCTTTCTTCTCATTGGCCGTCTCAAACACTTAATACACACGCAGATGTGTTTACAGCGAAGCATCACTTCATCAGCGCTGTGTGTGTGTGTGTGTGTGTGTGTGTGTGAGAGGTGCAACTGGTCAGCCCACAGGTCAAGGACATGCATAGAAATGTGCCTCGAATATTGCAGGTTTAAATAGATTTAAAATCTCTAATAGTGTTACAAGCTAAAAGTCTGACAAAGTATTCCCTTTATGAAACGCTTTTCATTTGAACTGTTTGGAAAAAAGTCTGCTTTTCATGTGCCGTAATCAACAAGCCTCCATTTTGTTGTATGACGTGAACTGGTGTCTGAATAAGTGTGTGGCAAAGCAAGAATTTTAAGACTCCAGGAAGTTACTGGTCTGTACTAGGGCTGAACGATTAATTGTTTTCAAATCGAAATTGCGTTTTGAAAGAACACGATTAGCTAATTGTGAAGACGGCGATTAAAATGTAGGTTAATTAAACAGCACATCTGACCCGTTTTAAACAGTCATGCAGTTAAAAATTTATTCCGTTGTTATCCCTGTGTGACAGATCTGATCGCCAGTCACAAGCTCCATTTGCCTCCTGTTACGGCCCTACTCCCCTATCAGAGCGGGCACAGGGCGTGTGCATTTTACAATAACAAACAAAACTAGAGGATAACGTGGAATAAAGGCGTCAGCCGAACCGACACATGCAGCGGCTGGGCCGCAGTTTTGTCCGGCATCAACTCACTCTGAAGTGTTTCAGCAGCAGAGCGTTTAGCATATAACCTTGTTGACATGGTGTTAATTTGTCAATTTGTATGCTTCAACTACGGATAACAGAGCTCTGTGAGCCCATTCCGTTCCTGAAAGTCAAACTATTCCTTTGCCTGGTTAAAGCTAGGCATCTCCAGATTGATTCTATTCATACAGTTCAAACCAATACAAACAACTGCATAATCCCCAAATTGAGCAAGCTGATATGAAGTCACAGCTTAGAAGTAGTAGCTCTTTGCAAACTTACATTTTTCTAAAAGTCCTTGGCTATTTTTTTACCTTGTTTTTAGAATTCGGAGTCATCTCCATGCTGTTTTCATGGTGCAGGCACTCTTGAACTGTCGGGCATTCTGATTATTTCTGCCTCAATACTTGTTTTCACACAAAGAAAGCATTTACTGCAAGGTTTAGTGCAGGCCTTTACAAAATGTCATTTTTTTTACATTTGAAGCTTCTATTGAGGTTTTCGAATGAAGCATTCAATGTGTGTAGTCATATTTTATGACGTCATCACCCAAAAAACAAATTCTTGGACAAAATCCTCAATTATTTGTCACCTACAAGCAGAATGAGTAGGATTTTGTGGTTGCTGTTTGTAAACATACATTCAAAGTTGTCCAACCTTGAATGTATGTTTAAGCAGGGAGGGAGAGAGAGGGGCGAATGAGCGAGCAGCGCTGGCGAGAACAAAGCAGTGAATCAGAAAAATGGTTATACTCTGATTGTTTCACGGCAGCACAAATTAACACAACTCGGCAAAATCCTGCAGGAAAGAGCCACGGATTTTGTGTGAATCCAGCCTGCACAGCATTTGAATGTTGCTTTATAATTTGAATGTCAAAGTTATGAACAAACTATTCGGTACAGTAAGTTTAGAGACGGTTAGAAAGAAATGTCTATATGTATTGTTTTACTTTTACAAACCTGGCTGAAGACCCCTGTCATAGCTGGACTTCATGAGCCTTCTTATTGTACTTCAAGCTTTTCACCCTGCAGGGCTCTGTTTTGCGCCAAGGCTATGAAGCGTGTGTTTGCAGTAATTGTTGGTGCCTTTTGATTTCTTGGAGTTTGCCTAAACACACCGTTGATTAATATATAAAAGCCAAACACGCATGCTGCTGAATTGATGATGAAAGAACACCCTTTGAATTACCACATTATATTTCAAACTAAATGTTTTCGTGCCGGCCTCTTCTGCAATGTCCAACCCTGTTTATATTATATAGTGAATGCGGGCTGTCCTTTAGCCTCACGGTGTTGTAGTATTAACCACTGACTTGCTCTCTGAGGTAATTGACTGTCCTCACAGCAGTTATTGATGAAGGGATGGAGGAAGCACTTGTTGGTTCCCCCCCACTTCACTTTAGATTAGAGCCTCCCAGCTCTTGAGCTATGGGCTCTTTATCATCCCTCTTCCTGCTGAGCTGATTGACTCCAAAACATGACCAGTTTGGGAAAAGACACACGACCAACAGTGGTGAACCCTGCTTGTGGCTTGTATGTTTTTCTCATCTGCTGCCCAGATGAGTCGGGCAGTAAAGAACAGTGATTTCCCCAAAAAGGGCAGTTGTATTTATTTTGAAAGCGTGTGATAGTAAGTTTTTTTTTTGTTTGTTTTTTTTAAAAGCAGTTTTGAGTGATAATCTTTGCGTGTGGTGCTGGAACAATAGTTTATTTTTTTTGCAAACATGCCCAGGTGAATTTTAAAGCTGTTATAATCAATGGTTTTACATTTAATAGTAGCTCAAATGACAACTTCCATGTTAATATATTATTAATAAACTGCCATGTATGTAGTGACTCTCTATTCAGCAGCTCTATTCAGTTCTACAGAGCTTGGTAGAACGCCCTCATGTTTTTTTTTTTTTTTTTTATTGTGATCAGGATAAATACAGAGTAAGATATTTGGCTTTGTTGATTGTGACACTGTTTCTAAATAACCTGAAACCTAGTTTGGCATTTCTCTGCTACATTTTCATGTTGTCAGCTGACTTATAGATTAATATTGATACATCTGCAACATGCCAGGCTGGTATGCCTGCACGGCTGAGGTTATCGGTCTAGCTCGGTTACAGACCTTTCCCAACTGAACTCTGGTCTGTGCCTCATGCTCTGGATTTAAATGTAATTGCAATGTATTAGGCTAGCCAGGCTGAAATCATGCTATGTTAGCTTGACAGGCTCAGTGATGGTTATATTTTTGATAGCTGGTCAGGGGATCTCTCACTGAGGTTTGGTCTGCCATGTTGTCTTGTCATGTTTTGGTTGAAGGTCTGTGACAACTTTTAATTCTCTCTGCTCATAAAGCCTCCTCTGTCAAATGGCATGATATAAATCAGTCCTATAGGGCAGCACTACCTGTTGATTTTTAAATCAATTTAATCACAAGATTATTATTTGATTAGTTGATTAATCTGACAACTAATTTATCAATTATTCTAAAGATTATTTTTATTACTTCAATCAATATAACAATTGCTCTAATTTGCAGTAAGATAATCACTGGCAGTATTTGTACACCAGTGTGTCGAGGGAAATAACTGAAACGATTCGGACTGTCCAACATCCAACAAGTCTATAACATTATTTTCTCACTCATATGTGGCCGTTAAACAGAAAATACACAATGTAGGTGACGTGTGGTGTGTAATGTTACATTACCAAAACAGCAGTCGTGCAGAAATTACTTTTAACATGTGGGCCATGAAGAAAATATTTAGTAAATCAATTTTAAGTGACTACTGCTAATTGAAACAAACACACACATTGTGCTTGGTTGGGGACAAAAAGTGAACAGATTGCTGTCTTGCTGCCGTCTTCACAAAGCAATCCGGGACGCTTTTGCTTCATGTGTTCCTGCACAGCAGTTGTACTGCTGTTTTAAAAAAACAAAAAGCCTTTTGCAGTGCTTAGAGCACCACATTATGGGATCTCCCATACTTTAGATCGTCATAGGTGAAGTTTTTTTAGCTGCAGCTTGTTCTCCGGGGAAAGCCCTGCTTAGATCGGGTGCAGCACTTCACTGCGACGTGCCAACACACGATATGCAAATTCGTGTATTTCCGTAATGGATTACGCTGATGAGTTGCCCTAGTCCTTTGCTGACTGCTGGCTCGCTGCAGGTGTTGGAGGACGAGCAGGCAGGTTTATGGAGCTGTTGCTGCTATAGTGGCAACTTGGCTGAATTACATTTGCCTGCACAAACCTTTTCAGCATGGAAATCAAATTCACTCAGCAGGACTCCTCTCTGCTTTATGATTGGTTTCCAGAGGCAGCCGTCTCCAAAGATCCTTCACCAAATTGAAATATCCACTGTATGGGGGGAAAAATGACACCAGTGCACATTGAATGATAGCATAAAATCAGACCATAGGATGGGAGGAGACCTGGTCATGAAAATGATTGCACTGTCACACACCAGATCATCTGTTATTTGGAGCTGCTGAATAACATTTCATGTTCACAAGTCATGATACTCTCCCCACACAGTGATCCTTCACTATTTAGGATTGAAAGGCTTTTAATTATAAAAACAAACCCATCACGGAGGTTGACAGAGTCAGAGACAAACAAAATTAGAAGTTAGAAAACACTCATTCCTCAGTCAGACAGGACTAGGCTCATCAAACTAATTTGAACTAAAGAGAGCTTTTACTGAACAGCTTAATGCCCCATTTGGTTTGCTTTAACTCAGTTAAAGGATAAATACATCGGAGTTAAACGGGCTGAAGGTGTGCAGAGGCAAGAGACTAGAGCAACCACAGGCTCTGCTCTTCTTGTGCTGCTCTGTTGCTCTAATCATATGCTGCAATGATGACTTTAAAATCCACACCCCTCTACATTGAGTGCTGTTTGTCTTGTCCTGCTTCATTTCTTCTCTCCCAGAGACAAACGTCTTAATACCGTGACGGTGGTTTATATTTCACATCATTAACATTTCACTGGGTACATTACTGCGTTTGTGTTTACTTTTACTTGCGTGGGCAGTATTGTAATGCTTCATTTCTTGGCTTTAAATACAACAGTACTACAGGCATTTTCCCCCTTTTGAGACATTTTAAGGAGGGCCTGTTCTACAACAGCATTTCAATGTATTAAAATGTGCTGGGACTTGTCCAGCAAATGTTTAGGTGGGTGTACTCTATTATATGACCTGTAGCAAAGAACAAGTTAAACACATTTCTCTCACCTCACTGACATTTCAATGATTTTTATTGTGGATAGTAACCCTGAGACATGCATTCTTTTCCCTTCCAGACTATCTCCGCCAAAGCTATGGACTGTCTACGGATTTCGCTCCGCCGTGTGACTACAACAAACTGGTGCTGTCTCTCCTTTCGGGCCTACCCAACGAAGTGGACTTCGCTGTCAACGTTTGCACTCTGCTTTCCAACGAGAGCAAGCACGCCATGCAGCTGGACAAGGACCCCAAACTGGTCACATTGCTGCTGGCCCACGCCGGAGTCTTTGATGACTGTACGTTCCCAACCTCACTAAGATTGTGTTCAGATAGTGAAACGGGATAGACAAGTCATTTACAGTCAAAGTGGTGTCTCATTTGTCGCACATATTAGCGCTTTATCCAACAAAGAAACCTTCTAACATGCTTAACTTTAGACAGATGATTCTTTACATTTAATTAGTGGAGAATATCTGCATATTACTAAATCTGCAAAATTTAGCGTGTCTGCTTTAAGTTGAAAATGGTACTTTGATTTAAGATCAAGTGAATTAAAGTTACTTTAATAATCCTTGTAATCCTAAAAAATTGAAAATCTAGTATTAGTTGTAAATGTGCAGCACTACAAATGGATACTTGACTGAATTCTGCTGCTCCACTCTAACCTTCCCTCTGTGCCTTTGTAGCGCTAGGCAGCTTCTCTGGAGTATTCGGGACAAACTGGAAGGAGAAAACCTCCCGGGACTTTGTCAGGGTAATGTTAAAAATGTATTTTTGTGAACTGTTTTCCTCTGCAAGTTGTCCGCTAAATACACCATTATTTAGTGTTATTAAATACGGTTTTCACTAAGAAGCCACAGAGCATCTCTTTCATTGAGTGTGAAGATTGGCAGAAAATACAGCGGTTACTCCTTACAGAGGACCCTCAGAACAGTTTTCTCTCTGAGGCGTCTTTAAAACAGAATGAAGCTCGGTTCACTTTAATCGCTCTAAATCGAAGAGGCATGCATGAAAATAAAGTCATGACTCAAAAAGAATGTAGTATTTCATTTATCCTCAGTGATCGTTGTGGCTGCTGCTCCTCGAGAGGTCAGGGGTCACAGTCAGCAGATAGAAGTCCTTCTCAAGGGCATTTTTAAAGGCTTTGATCTGTTGTATCCGGGAGAAGGCTGATTGTCTTAACTGTTATCTGCAAAAATGTGTTTAAATTCCCAAAGGATTGGTAACTAAATAGTGGCCCTAGTGCCTATTAAAGGGCAGTTAAGTACAGGTGTTGGTATTAAGCCTCTCATGGCTCCACAGGGAGCTGTGTGAAGTTTGATAAATGTCCTCAAGTGATGTCACTTGCGTGAGCGTTGGCCTGTGCTGAAGACTTCAAGCCTCAAAACGAATAAAGGCCCAGAAGTGTGGCGTTAGAAAGAAGTGAATTCACCAGACCCTGTAGCCCGGTGCTCATCTCTGCTTGAGGCTACTAGCATAACACACCCGTATTTCTGACCAAACTGTCGCGTTCGAGTTGCATTGTGGGTAATGAAGGCACCAGGTTTTGACCTTGAAGAAGAAAGCATGGAATAAAAAAAGATAACTCTGATTCTGCTGCATTGATTTTTGCTACTTATTCCCCCAAATGCAATGGGGGGGATGGATACAGGTGCACTTTGGATACAGTTGCCAAGCTGCCTGAGTCTCATTCACTGCCATGTAACCTTTGTTTATGGGTTGTGTTTATGGTCATGCTATGCAAACTGGAGATTGACAGTCCGGTCTGTTATAGTCTTGTTAACATGACAGTTGCAATTACCTTACTATTGCTGCATTTGGCTACAATTTGAATTTTTAATATCCATTCAAATGCACCGCTAACAGCTGTTGTTCTTCTCCTGCAGTTCTGGAAAGAAGTGGTGGAGGACGTTGAAGTCAGGGAGCTGATCTGGGACAAGAGCAGCCCTGCACAAGGTAAACACGCTTAGTGCTAAAAGCCACAGAAGGCAATAAAAGGGGACGCTCCTCCGATGTATTTATTGACACCTCAAATGCTGGGACATGTTCAGGTGTGCAGCCTTTGTTTACTGTGACTTCCCTTCTTAGTTTTTCTTGAGTACTTCTGTGAGCGAGACATGGGTGTGTTTGGTTGCGTTTTTAACCCTTCTTTGTCCTTGGTACTACAAGTCCCAAATCTTGCATAGTATTTTATGTTCCCTTTACACAAGATTTTAAGAATAAGGAAAGGCACAGCTCACATGAAATAAACAGTGGCAACACAAGATGAGTAAAAAAAAAAGGCACCATTTAGAGGCTTATTTTTAGATTATTTTTTTTCTTGTAGCATGTGATTCTGAAAGTTGAGAACTAATATCCCAATTTGTGCTCACACCCTCTGGCACGGACCTCTAAATAGTTCCTGGTCTGTTCTCTTTGCAGAAGGTACGTCGTGTGAGGAGCGCTGGCGGAGCCTCTTTCACCCGCCACGGAACCTGGGAATCAGCGACATGGAGGCCCAGCGGGTGCTGCAGATTGCCGTTATCCTGCGAAACCTCTCCTTCGAAGAGGCCAACGTCAAGCTGCTGGCGGCCAACCGAACGTGCCTGCGCTTCCTTTTGCTCTGTGCCCACTGTAACCTCATCTCACTCCGCCAGCTTGGACTCGACACGTTGGGCAACGTGGCTGCTGAGGTTGGTCAGGAGTTACAGTGGGGCTCTCATTCTGGGTTGGGGCAGAGTCATGTTCAGTGCCAAATATAATAAGCATGATTTTAAGGTTTGTTTCCAAATGTAGGTTACTGTGACACAGAAAACTTGTCTTGTCTTTAGACATCATCTTTACTCCTTAACAGTCTGAATTAGAGGTTGAAAGCAACGGTAACTAACGGGGTGGGGGGTGGGGTTGTTCTCGTTACGTAGCATCTTTACTAGGCTAGGATTTGTGCGCATCAGATGTGTTGACGGCAACATTGTTGTGATTTGCTGAACACACACTATGGTTAGCCAGCTAACAAGCTCACATGATCTTCTTCCAAAACCAGATGAGTGAAAATGATTAATTCCTGTTCAAAAACAGACAGGTCTACTAGGTTCATAAGGGATAGATGAGTGATATGTTTATAAAAACAACCCGCTGGAGCTACCTTTCCTAAGAAATGAGGCCTTGGTGTGCCAGATGGTGTGTTGTGTCCAAGCAGTCTGTTTTTCAGAATAATTTTTACATGTTTATTTGGCCATTTTCTAGCAGCAACAGACCGATATTGAACTCAAACCTTCAGTTCCAACATAGAAAAGAACATCATTATTTACAAATGGAGAATGTTAGAGAAATAGTGGCTGGCTATTAAGTCACAGTGGGCTCACTTAAATTTTAATTTATTTCACATTTATTGGTGTGAGATGCTTGTGGATGAGCCCACATCTATTTTTAGAAACTGTATGCATAGCGTCCCTGATAATATCAGTTAAGCCTTTGATGCCATTAATGGATGAGTGGTTTTGACATATTCTTCAGATATGATGATAGAGTTATCAATTAATGTACAAATCATTAATGTCATGATGAAATTACTGTGTTTTGGCCAACCCGTCTTTTAGATATACCAATAAGTCTCGCTCGGGTTTGGTTCACTGCATTTATTATTTTAGTTAATATTGATGGTGAATGTTGCAGTTGTTTCCAGCTGACTTGCTGCATGGTGGGTAGGTTGAATAACTCTTTTCTGGGCTCTTGTAGCTCCAGCTGGATCCCGTTGACTTTCGGACGACTCATCTGATCTTTCACACCATAACCAAATGCTTGATGTCCAGGGACAGGTTTCTCAAAATGAGAGGTGAGTTGTCTGTCAGGCCATTATTGTGACACCTTACTGTCGGAGTGCCGTGTGAAGCATCTTAAGTTAATTGTGTTTGTGTATTTCTGTGTGTGTCCCTTTTTTTTTTTTTTTAGCCATGGAAATCCTGGGCAACCTCAGCAAGGCAGAGGACAACGGCGTGCTAATCTGCGAGTACGTGGACCAGGACTCGTACAGGGAGGTAACGATGCTCCTCACCCTGCCTGACCTCATGCTCCTCATGGCCTCTTTGGAGGTGCTGTACCTGCTGGCACAGCTCGGAGAGGTTCCCTGCAGCAAGATCGCTTCGGTCGACCATAGCATAGGTATAAATCCCCTACTATCTTAATTTTTTTTTTTGAATTGCTTTGTAAGTGCACTGCAGTTCATTCTCTTTAATAAATGAATCTGTGCTTGAAATGTAATGACACAGGGGCTTAGAACAGTTTTTGTAACTTGCCTGCCTGCCAAGTTTAGTCATGTTAGTCTTTCCTTTCATGACTAACTGGCTCAAATGACAATGTCTCTTTCCCTCCAACTGTGGAATCTTTAACGCTTGTGTTTTGGTTCGTCACTGAAGGAATGAAACATTGGTTGGATGTGCTAAATGGCTGGAATGTGACTACTTGTTTCGACCATTGCTGATCTTTGTGGGTTTTCTTCTTCCTCCTTTTGCCTGGTTAGACCTGTTAGTGCGGTTGGTGTCGGTTGACCTTCATACGTTTGGACCCGACGCCCTAACAGCGGTGCGGTTGATCGAGCATCAGGCCAACGCCGACCAGGCAGCCGAGGTTCGACCACAGCTGGTGGAGCAGGTCCCTGCAGCCGTGCAGGGAGCACCAGCACCTGGTGAGTGTCTGTTCACGGCCCACGCCTGTTTGTCGCAACTTCTGTTGCAACAAGAGTTTATACACACAATGGGGAAAATTATGAGGAGCGTAAAATAACCTTGTTTTGGTTTGAGTTGAGTGTGCAACGGTCAGATGAAGAGCAGTTGATGGGTAATTATATTAAGGGAATTTCACATGTGAACTTTGTACCTTTTTAGGTATAGAGAACACAGCTAGGATTTTCCTAAACCATTATGGTCCAATGGAAATCTGGAATATACTTTGTCTTCACCAGTGGATACCTAACCTTCACTAAAGTATTATATTTTAAAGCTGCACAAAACTTGATCTAGAATTCAGTTTTTCCACATCTACACATATTTCTAACTTAAAAAAAAACACCTTTAGTTTATTCTGACGGATGCTCAGACGCCTTGATGGTAGGGGCACTTGTATGCCCATAAAATTAAGAATGCCTTATAAATGATACAAATGAGCACAAGATGACAAGCGGCAACAAATCCATGTTAGGCTGCTGTGGCCGTTTGAATCATACTGTACAGAGTGAAGGTAACAAAGGATTCACCTAGTTTGACTTTGACTGTTTATCTGGGACAGGGAGAGACAAAAAGCTATTTTAATATTACGTCTTATAAAAGGTACTGTTGTAACAGTCACAACAACTCATTCACTTACAACTGCTAACTCACCTGTGAGTACTGTGCTGCATTCTTCAGTAAAAGTTGGTTAGCAACCTCGTCCTGGCTGAAATACTGGATTAGTAATATCATTTTTCTTTGTCACTTGGAATAAGTTGCGTGAGATTTCTATAATGTATTATCCAGTTATTTGGACACAAAGCAGTTAATGCTGCTCAGGCATTGGTCTAATACTTGTTGGCTAATTAATGAGGAAGGCCAGACCCGAGCAGTGTAATGAAACTTTTTATAGTATAAAAATAAAGATGATTAGGTTAAAGTTAAAAAGCAACAAGTATTCACTGAACAGTTATTGACATTTCTAGGAGCTGATTCAATACCTACCAAGAAAATAAATTCCTGTTTTGTTTTCACTCTCTGTAGCCTTTAAGATAGCTTGTCGTTTGCCAACTGCTTATATTATGGTGGGCAGACACAAGGGAATGCAGATGTTAAAGCAGCTCTCCAAACGTCTCACAGCACCTTTGAGTTTGTGAATTGACAGGTGACCCCCGGTGGGAAATAAACCTACCTAACCTTGGAAGTGTCATTCCTGTGAAGTGTTATGTATGTGTTCCACGGGGCTGCAAAGGTGTTAGTTTGCTGACATCTAGTGGACTGCCTCAGAAGTATTACAAGCTTGAAGTTGATTGAATCGATGGACAAAACTCATCATGTTCTGCTTTTACTTCGCAGTGCAGTCATTCAGCATTATATCATTTCTACAGAAGCATTCAACTTTCTTAAACCTTAAATGTTTGGGGTTTTTTTGTTCTTTTTGTCTTTTCAGTAACAAGAGTCCCAGTTCAATCCACTCAACCACCGCCTGGTATTGTTGAACTAGATGGGGAAAAATTTACACTGCAGTGGTAAGATGAATTCATGTATTGAAGCTGCCAGAAAACAAATTTAGGATTTCTCCTGACACGCTCTCATTGCTGTAATTCATGTCAGCATTTGTTTTGCTTGCATAGTAACCACTCCATCTCTGTGTTTTTTTGTTCTTTTCTTCAACAGGCTAAACGCACATTTTGAGACATACCCTGAGGGCTCTGTGTCTCGATCAGACATGTACTCCGAGTACCTGGCCACGTGTAGTAAAATGGGACGAAGCAACATCTTGAACTCCACTGGCTTCCTCAAATGTCTGAGGTTAGTCCTGTTTCTTCCCACTGTCTGATGCTTTTATATTCCACCAGCACAGAGCACTGATTAATGCCTGTGCCCTGACCAAGACTGTTTGCTACACAGCAACTCCTGCCGTTTGTCTTGGTAGAGCGGCTCTAACAAAGCATAACTCTTGAGTTTTAATAGTGACAGTGCTCCACCAACAAGATAACAGCAAATGTTGAAGACGAGCATTTAGTGTTATAGATGCTCTGAAGATTCTCTGTTGCTTCTTACTGCATGGGACGTTTGTGTGTTTTCTTAAAATAAAATTTTAGCATGTCTTTTTAACTTTGCAAGCTTCCCTTTGTGACGATCCTGTCTCCTCATGCCACCACAGGACTGTATTTCCCAACCACACAATGCGGCGGCAAGAGGAGGCCAAGGCCAATGGTCAGGTTCAGATTCTCCTGGTGGGGCTAAGGCGAAGGTCAATCCCCTTGCCCATCCAGCTGTACTACCAGCAGCCTCAGCAGCAGAATCCGGCAGCAGCTACTCCACCTCCAGCCGCCCGACACGAAGCTCCCGGAGACGCTCAGGCGCCATCTCAAGGTACAACTAGGAGACTGATCATGTTTATGTTCTTTCACTCACTTTTTCTTAGGGAGCGATAATGGGAAAGTTCACGTTAGAGGCTTTACCAGCTAGGAAGTAAAAAGTGCAACCCACTGAACCATAAGTAAATGAAAATCACATGCATCGAGTTTGACACGAGGCCGTTTAGTTAACCGGTCAGATGCCAGAAGCTAAGGAGCTACGGAGGAAAAGAAAAGGCCCTTCAGAAAGTGATATTGTGCAGAAAGGTGCTTGTAGTCTTGCAGAGAGACCAGAGCTGGTACCACGATGGCTGATCTAATTACAAAGGCAAACATATCGAGAAAATGTTTGCAAGAAAAGAAGTTACTTGAAGGAGTATAATGGGGAAATTGATTTCATCATTAATTACAATTCACAAGCACAGCAGTAAATTTCTAGCCCAGGCATTGTTTTTAAAAATGTCAGCTTTTGGATCCTGTACCAATCATGTTTGCAAATGTTTAGCATGCTTTCTACTGTAATACTGTGTCCGGTCTGCATGATGTGCTACGCACTTTGTGTAATCCTGGTTATTGGCCTCATTACATTCCTTAACATTAAGAGAATAAATTGCCTGATACAGGTGGCAGATTTTGTTGTTCACACAAACGACACTAAAATATATTGTAATGCATGTGATCATATACTTAACTCTGCTTTTATCTAAAGTATCTCTAAAAAAAAGTATTAAATATTCAGAAGACTATTTGTAAACTGGTGAAACTATTTAATGACATCTTGGACCTAAACATTTCTGTGTGTTTCTGTGTTAATGTGTGACCAGGCTTACCTCCTGGCCATCTCAGTCAGTTTGCCCGGACCCCGGGCCCCAGCCTCAGTGCCGTTGGTGCCGCCCCATCCATGGCCTTGACTGCACAGGAACCTCCCCATGCAAGCCACACGACTGTTCCCCGCCACACGGTGCCCCCACAGGTGCCTCCGCAGTTACCACCAAATCCTCTGGCAGCAGCGCAGCAGCAACAACAGCGACCTGGTCCAGTGGTCCAGATTCCAACGTCGGCAGCGGCCACCGAGAACCACAGCCCGCAGAACCTTGGCGCTCCACCTGCAGCACAGCAACACTCCCCCATGCTCCCCACGGGGACGCCTGTCACGCTGTTTCAGCAGGTACCACAGGGCCACATCCTCACCGCCAGGGTACAAGGTGTATGCCCTCCGATCACCCAGCACCCGCCCTTGCCTCAAACCCCTCCCCAGGTGGAGCCTCAGTGTGTTACTGCGGCATCGACAGCCTCTTCTTCCATCCAGGTTGGAGGTGGTCAGGCATTGAGCATTGCAGGTGGGCCCAATTCCCAGGGGTCACGCGTCACATTTCAGAATATCGCCCCCAAACCAGCGCCAAACCAGTCAGGTGGACCAGCAGCCACGATAGCCTCTCCCAACCAGCAGCCTCAGCCTCAACAGCAGACGCAGAGTGTCGTAATTGTCAGTCCCAACCCCCAGCAGAACCCGGCCTACACCCCTGCCATACACCAGATCGTTCTTGCCAACCCCTCCGCCATTCCCGGTGCCCAGACTATCCAAATAGCAGGGCAACCTGGAGCTGCTTCCAGCCCCTGCCTGCCTCCTGCTTCTCACTCCAGTACCCACATCCAGCCCAGTCAAACAGTCAGCCACGCACTGTCCATGAAACGGCATCAACAGCAACAGCAGCAGCAGCAGCACCAACACCAACAGCAGCAGCAGCACCAACAGCAGCAGCAGCACCAACAGCAGCAGCAGCACCAACAACAGCCGCCGCTCCAAATAATTTCTCCTCCCTCTCAGCCTACCTCCACAGAGTCCAGCTTGATCAAGCAGCTACTGCTTCCAAAGCGAGGGCCTTCTACTCCGGGAGGAAAGCTAATCCTACCCGCTCCACAGGTGCCCCCTCCCAACAGCACGATAGCCCCTAGTCCACAGGTCCTCTACCAGACAAGCTACAGCACCCAGAATCCCTCTCCTCAGCCCCAGCAGCTCAATGTCCAGCTGGTTCCTGGTCAGCTTCCTGCTGCAGGAGCCCCAGCCCTCCAGACGGTTCAGCTCTTGCCAGGCCAGCTCATTTCCACAGGTAGCCCAGGGGCAGCTACCATCATCCAGGGCCCCACTGCAGCTGGACAAGTCACATTCACCGTGGTCCCAAACACTGGCTTCACCACCTCTACTGCTGCTGTTGCCGCTGTCAGCCAGGGTGCTGTGGTTCCAGGAGTTGCCCCTCCTCCATTCTCTACTGGAACATTTCCCCACCATGCCCCTGCAGCTCCACCACCACTGCCAGCTCCCCTCAGAGGAGACAAGATAATTTGTCAAAAGGAAGAGGAGGCCAAGGATGCCACAGGGCTGCACGTCCATGAGAGAAAGATAGAGGTAATGGAGAACTCCTCTTTGGCAGAAGGAGACTCCAACGGCAAAACCAGTAACGGTGATGTTGCGGCAGGGGCCAAGCTGCTAAATGGTCGGAAGTGCATGGAGTCTAATCTACCTCCATACCACTCAGGGAACAGCCAGGGGGCGCTCAATGGCCCGGCTACGGAGAGTCACCCTGCTAATGGGAAGCAGGCCCTCTCACCTGGCTTGAACACCCCTCTGGAGGGTAACCCCGACCCCAAAAAGACTCTAGTCAACGGGGTGTGTGACTTTGACCGGGGTGAAAGTGGTGGCAACTTTAACAAAAACATTCCAAATCACATTGCTTCCAAACAGTACTTGGGGAATGGGGAGGTTGGCCCCTCTGAGAAGAGTTATGGGTCAGACCCCCTTCTTCCTAGTCCTCCTCCCCCCCAGCAGGACACTGCCAAAGCCCAGCAGGCTGAGCGCCTGGCCAACGGACCCCAGGCAGTGGGCAACAGGCCTCCCTCGGAATTAACCAATGGACCTTTGGGGCCTGGCCACGCTGTGCCTGTGCTAAGACAGCAACTGCTCCCCAATTCCCCCCTCCCCCCAACCGTTACTCTCTCCTCGCAGAGTCTTGCTGCCTCCCCTGCAAACGGAGTGGCCTCCGAGGCTCGAGGCATCAAGAGACCGGCAGAGAACGAGGACCGCAGTGCGGCGGCAGCATCCTCGGGAATCCCCAATAAAGTGGGAGTGCGGATCATCACCATCAGTGACCCCAACAACGCCGGCAGCAGTGCCACCATGGTGGCAGTGCCAGCAGGAACAGACCCAAGCACAGTAGCCAAAGTAGCAATAGAGAACGCCACTCAGCAGAGGAACTGCTCACCCACACAGGCAGCTGGCACGACGGTGAGTCATTGTAGGGTTAAGTCTCACAGTAAGCCACATTTATCCAGTGTCTCCTAATAGTGTGACTTGATGTCAGGCCTGCCACAAAATGTGTCACTGACACATTAGGTTATTTGCATTACCAAGTCATGGATGTTTTCTATGGATAGGATGTTTTTTTATGGTAAACAAACATAGATTTATTCACATTCACCAAACACATATGTTCCTTTCACAGTGTAGCAGACAGGTTGGGGCATCTCCTACTGCAATACATATGCTTTTTTAAACCTGCATTGTAATATGATAAAACACATTTCTCTTCTTTTTCTTTTTTTTTTTTTTTTTTCTTGCGTAATGCAAAATGTTATAAAATTGTATGTGTACACTTAAACTGTAACATACTCTTAGTCGTCCTCAGGATCGCTAATATATGCAGCTATTATCTGTGCATTTTTATCTGAAATCTAAACTGTCTAAACAACTGTGGGTGATTTTAGACATTTTACACGCTGTTCTAAACCATTTATCTGGAAGTTATAGTGTGTGATCTTGTTCTATGGTCTAGAGATACAGCTTTTATTTGATACTTTTTAAATATTTTTTCACAAAGAGCAGAAACCATTCTTTTCTTTCTCCATTCGCTGCCTGCCTCGGTCTTGATGCGTCGCTGAGGTCTTGTGACGTCAAACCTACGACAGAGAGGCTATCAAGAGAACAGCAACAAAAGACAAAGAGCCACTGTCATTTTAGCACGGAGCAAAGATTACAGAAACACATTTTTTTGTTTGGCAGTTTGTCATTGAGGTGTTTCACTTCATGTCTGTAAGATACCATAAAAGACACTAAAATGAGCATCATGGGTAAAATATACCACTCTTAAGCTATTACACTATGCTTGTGGCCTGTGTATCCTCATGTACCTGGTAGAACATTGGCAGCACATCAAAACATCTCAGGGTATATTTTTAATACGGTTTGATTTGATACTGAAATACACAGTGATGTAACGGAATTGAAGTGACACATGTACTAGATTTGTAATATTTTAGTGTCGGGCCGCAGACTAAAACCTGAGAATAACTTGGAATTGCCAATGTTGTGCAGTTAGGGGTGGTACTCATAGAGAGAGAAGGAAAAACTGATTTTGTAAAGATTTTGGGCAGATTTTAGACCTCACACTGCCACATGTGTATACTGCAGTGTCTAAATGTTGAATAGAAAAATGTTTTTCATCACAGGTGTTATGCCGAATTTTGCATGCCTGCCTGAGAATTGTAGGAAAATTTATTAAAGTTCTGCTTTTAGACACTATACTATTCTTTGTGGGGTTCATCAATAGTGATAAATGATGATATTTTATGAACGTTAAGAATTGTTAATATTTAAAATGGGTCGCCAAATATACTTGGCCGGCTGTTAATCTACCTGTGCGGCCCGCCCAAGTAAAGCCTATGTATGGGAAACACTGCGGATTCTAAAACAGACAAATTGTCCAAAGTCAAATTCAACAGATATGCACTTATTGCACCTCACTTGTCTTGTTGGCTGGAAGGGTCCAGGTGTGTCATTTGGAGGTTAAGAAGGCGAGGCCAGTTAAGACCATGTGGCTCTCACCGATACCCACCTCCTATAGCAAAGCAGCTGAGAGAACAACTTCTGCCAGTAGACAGGCTTCGGTTACATCTCAGCCAACAATCATTTCTAATGATGGCTTTATAAAGCCTAGTTCACACTACACCATTTTAAGCCCGATTTGCCGATGGGCTGCAATCGTAGGTAAATCAGTGATCGATAGCCTATCGCCAGTCGTTATGTGTGAACTACTCAAGGATGCATCAAAACGGCTCCCCGACACATTACTGAAACATTGCCAATGTCTGCCAGATATCTAGCATCCACATCCAGCCAATGAGAGCAGGCAGCTACTTTTTTACTTTTTCACCACAAACACTTTTTACTCACCTCCAGCTCTCTGGATTAGCACACAGGTAGCAGAGATGATCTGTGCCACATTCTTTCACCCAGATTCTACCTTTATAATTGCTATCTTTATAATAACAAACAACAGCTGTTTCACGTGTAGGTTCGCGTCATTTCCCGTTTCACATTTCACGTGTGTTTTCTTGACAAAAGTGGTTTGGAGACCAGTGTTGGGTGACAGAGTCCTTGTCAGCTCGCGTAGTGTGTGACCTCCTGTCACCGATGAGTCACGCAGTGTGAGCGACACGGCCGTCGCCCGACGCTGAAAGTCATGTAGTGTGTACGAGCCTTAAGAATAGCAGTGTCAGGAACATGTATGTTCACTAGCAACTGTTTCAAGTCTTGAGAAGTTGTTGCCTGGTTGTCGTTTCTCCGAAAACATTAGCATGTCAATACTGATGTGTCACTTGTCACATGAATAGTTAAAAGGTGTTGAAATTATATATTACATTCTCAACTCAAGATCATAGATCTAAGAGTTTTTTTATGCTGTGCATAATTATAAGTTCTAAAATTTATAATTCATTTTTTGGCAAATTACAACTGGTGAACATTCTTGTGATTTTGTGTGATTCTGTCTTGTAAAAGTCTTTTTATATACAAAAGTCTTGACTCATAACTTCCATATTAAGACATTATAAACTTGATCTGTCTTTTTATATTGAATGGGTTTGTTAATTGATGGTGTCTCCATTTATATTAATGTTAATTCATTTATTTGAGTTTTCTCAACTCTTCCACAGCCTACCGCTACCCCGTCCCCGCCCCCTGTATCCCAGCCTGCACCAGCGGGTAGCCACAGCCCTCACCTCCCAGCACAGCAAACCCCCGCAGCACCGCCAGAGCAAAGCAGGAAAGCAGGGCAGAACTTCAAATGTCTGTGGCAGTCCTGTAAACGGTGCGTTTCAAAGTCTTGTTTGTAATTATCCGTTGCTGTGATGCTGTCGAGTTTCTGCTGATTTGTTCCTGTTTCTTCTGTAGGTGGTTTGAAACGCCATCTCAGGTGTTTTACCACGCAGCAACGCAACACGGTGGAAAAGGTGTGTATGGAGGCCATTGTCTGTGGGAGGGATGTGAACCTTTTCCCCGGCAAAGATTGTCCTTCATCACGCATTTACAGGTAAGAGTCCCTCTGCAGGGAATTCTTTTTTATTAATATATTACAGCAACAACCAAATATTGGGCAAGGTTTATCTAAATTATTTCCACTCTTTCTTTTCCAGGATAAGCACTGTTCTCGAGAGGCTTTGCTGGCTGGACTCAAACTAGAGGAGCAGCAGGCACAAAGTCCCAATCAGACTTCTTCCCAGTACATACACCTTTCTCTATTCATCTTGTTACATGATTGATGCTTGAATCTACACTTTATACCTGTTTGTGCTTGAAATAGTTGATTTAATTTGGGTCC